TATGTTAATTAGCGATTTCGCTATCGATAGAAATCATGTTTCATATGTATTTCTTACATTTTTATACTAATTTTGATTAATGAATATTAACTAAAAATTATGAACTCCCTAGATACATTAATCTTAATGTAATAAACTTCTCTGTCCCTTTTTTTTTAAATTAAACAATCATAATTTAATAGAAACGAATGTTGAGAAAGTAATGCGAGTTGAAAAATAACGTTTGCGTCTGACTTCACAGCCTGCGTATATTGCTTAGGACGGATGTGCGCCTCGTGTTACAAATTCTGCTGAGGCAAAATCCAAAGTGCAATGCTTTTCGTGCTGCAAGGTGTGCTGAGTCTAGACATACCTATATCGTATTCGACATGACAATGACGCAATAGTAAAATATAGTCTCGAGTAAAACTGAATCGGCAAGTAGAAGTCTTTTAATTAGATATTCTCGGTATGTTCCGCTTCGAAAGATTACATTGCTTATGCAAGAAAAATATTTTGTTGATTAGTTATTCTTATACATCGTTCATTTCCTTTGCCAACAAACCAATATTTTCAAAATAAATGCTTTTCACGAATAGTTTGACTGTGTAATAAATTATCATCTTAAATCATGTTTGCCAGTCGAAAAAAAAATTTACTAAACTTTATAGCATTAAAAATTTAGATTTGATTTATAATTCCTTGCGAGTATCCACACTGAAATTATCATAAATATGAGGTACATAACACTTATATGCAGCTCGCGATGTTTACGTTTAACGATCTTCTACTATAATCTTCTTCAGACTTTAAAGTTAATTGGTGCAGCCCGCTCGCTTATTTACAATCTGAAGATTACAAATCTTTGCGGTGTGGGCAGGAATTATAGATCGTAAATTACATTGTACATTGTTTATCAGGTCGCAACATTGTATATTTTAATCGGCTGTATATTCGTAAAGCAATAATTATCTTGGTCAAATGTTATAGAACCCGTTCAATTGCGAAGGTCAATTTAATCGATTATGTGAGAGGAATATCGAAAGTGAAATAACTTGTACTTAGGGGGGGGGGGAAGATTCATTATAAATTCTACACAAGTTTACAAAGCTATTTAGATACGTCCTTGACTAGCTTCGTATTTTATGCCAAACAAATAAATTGTTTCTTCATTGAGTCATAATTTTCCAACTAAAGCCACGGCAATTGACTGGAAATTAATTACACGAGCTACTTGGAATCGCTCTTCGATTTATATGTTAACGTCCAATTTTCCGTTTATCTGCAACCGTGAAGTGACATCACGCGAAGAAACGCGCCGCGCTTAACCATTCTCATTCGCCACGCGACTTTGCGCGCGACTTTACTCGCGGCTGAACGCGAGGGCGCGACGCGTGTAATCACGCGCACGATTACGATATTCGCCGCCGCCATCGTCGCGGTTGCGCTTATGGGGTCGCGAAGTGAATTCTGAGGCGCGTGACGAATCCCGCTGCACCGTGCCGTCGCGATGCGTCATGAAACGTGGAACACCGGCAGACGTGCCCACACTATGATGTTCATTGTTACAGACGCGGTGATAAAAGTAATTCAGGTGAAGACGCGTCTCTTTCTTGAACTGCCTCTGACATCAGACTCTCAATCAATCCGTTTTGCATGATGATGCATGAAGCGCGTTCGGCGAACGTCACGCGGAGACACTCATCTGGGTGTGGACGCGGCAAACGTTGCCCATATAAATCCTTTCGTTAGCACTGTAGAATCTCGATTGCACAGTTCAGCGACGCATAGTTCGAGATTATCCGTCTTTTGAATAATTGAACGTTTGATTCTGAGAACAGCGTGTCGTCTTGTAAAGAGATATCATCTACATATATTATAAATAAAAAAAATTTTACTTTTTATTTTATCTTACTAAATATAAAATAATAAAATTATTCTTTGCATCGAAACATAATCCGATGATTAAGATGAAGCCAAGATGAGCAGGCATGTTTTGGCATCGTTGTGCTTCTGTATGTTTTTTTTCCTAGAACTCGCATTAAAGAAACGAATGTACGTCTTCCAAACAAGGTCGTTCTAAACCGCAATCAATTCGGGGCTATCGATAATCCTATGCAAATTTTGCAATGCGAAGGTCACGTTTTATTTTCCTGCTAGCGACCAGTTTATTTGAAATCACGATTGGATGACATTAACTAATATGGCAAAAATGATAAAGAGATTTGTCACGTCACAATATACTTAACGTTAATAATAATGAAAGTATTATGTATATCACATAGCTAATGATGGAATAAATTTACATAATTTTAGTCGGCATCAAATTATCAATACTGACATAATCTTATAGATATTGCGATTGTTTTAATACTACATTTAGCAATCATTCAGTCTAATAATTATAATCCCTAATTATACTGTTTAGATTACACTGTTATCCCTAATTAGACTGCTTATAGTTACGTTATTTATTAATAAATAATTGCAATTCTATTGTTAGGGAATATTGGGTTATTATATTTGTTCCACTTTTACAAAATTATCATTATTGATTATTTTCTTTTGAAAGTTATTCTTTTGTGTAAAGTACGACCCCATTATTTAAACGCGGTCGATAAATTTTCCTGTGGAGGAGAGCCGCTCTGTTAATATCTTATTGATAGTAATTGATCTCGAGTTGAGAAAATACATTCGCATAAACGCACGTCGAATGATGATTATCGGATATGCAATATTGCGTATTATTACTCAAACTCGTGTACATTACGTACTAAGTCTATTAAACATTGCGCATATTTTTTTTATTATATTACGCATACATTATTTACCAAAAAAGTTTACGCACTTCAAAGCAAACCTTCTCAGTTAGTAAAACTTTTCGCATACGTGTTGAAGAGATAAGAGCAGGATTATTTATTTAAGAAAAACTATGTCTTAAATATAACGGATTAATATTTTGTCACAAACGGGTGCGTCGATTTTTTTATAAACAATGTATATATTCAAACTGAACTAAGACAAATTTGTTTCAATGCCAAGATATCGATTTCTTATTACTTATTAATAAGCATTATTTATTAATAAGCATTATTTTTGCGTAGGTATGCAGGTTCTTATCTTTATAGATTCAACTATATTTCGCAAATTAATTTATATAATGCCGCTAATAATTTCAATATTATAGACGAACAAAGCTGTACAGATGGTAGGTTCTCAACGGTGATATATTGTTATAGCCGCAAATACCAGTATCTCTTTGTACGCCTGCCATAACAATAACTACGCCGTTGTCTCTTTACGAAATATCGCGTCACATCTCGCGGAAATTTTCTCGAAGAAAAATGGAGCGACCATAAAGGTTCTATGCAAAATAGGTTGATGTAAAAGAATTGAAATATCATGATCGTAACTCGCGTAGCTCGCGATACGACTTGTCGGTAATAAAGCGGTATCCAACCGATTCTCGCGAATCGATGTTTACGGTAAATTTATACATCAGAATATGTATATTATTACCGTCTTCCGAAAGTACGACCACTGTTTTCCCTTTTTGCATGTATAAAATTTATTTATTTTGGGTTTATATTTGCCAGATTGACAAGTATTTCCGTTGCAATATGTTATTCCACCGCAGATTGCTTTTCTGAATGTTTTTTTTACGAGAGATACGAGAAGAGCAAAAATATTTTTTTTTATATATATATACTTTTATTGTGAAGAATATTGATGAATATTTTTTGATACTGCTCATTTATTAAAACATAGAAATTACCAATTTTGATTGATATTAAATTTCAAACAATTTTTTAGTATTAATAAACATGGTATATTAACATTAATTAACATTAATCTGAATACATTAAATGTATATTACTAACGAATGACAATTTATATGAACCGTTCATAATTTAGATTGCAGATGCTTATTTTCATTATGATAATAGGAAGAGCGCACATCAATAGAACATTTTTGGTTGCGCAAAGTGTTTTCTAGATCGCGTTCGACTTTGGATACCGTTTTGCTATGTTTAGATCACGTTCAGCTGGCGACGATAAACTAGGTCGGATTAGCGTACTCTTCCTTGAGTGAGTTCTTCATCTTTTCACTAAGGAAGATTCTATCATATCTTTTATATACTTCATAAAAAGATATAAGATATAAAAAGGAATATAAAATATCAAGAAACATAAAACATTGATGTAGTGCAACAATTTATACTTTATCAGAGTTTTCGTGCAACAATATTTAATATTCGTTGCATGATTACATTAAAATAAGCAATGCATATTATTGTTTATCTGAGCATTTTGTAATTTAATTACTATATATTGAAATCTCTGTATATTAAATTACTCACAACTTGAATGAACATACCACATCCAATTAATTACATTATTGTATGATAACATTTACCTAAAATATTAAGCGGGTAATTGTATTATGTGTACGGCAATTAATTTGAGGAGAAGTCTGCGAAATTCATATGATGTAATATCTACAACATTATAATTAATTGGCTATCAAATTTCACGCGATTGGCGTGACTTCACATCGATAAGCGTAGAGAAGCTTTCTTTTAATAAATTGACGTATGTCGCTATGCTTTGCGAATGTGAATAAAACGATATATAGATATTTTAGAACAGGGGACACAAGCTGAAATATTCTGGAAGCTTTTCAGGGAAAGCAAATGCAAATCTAAATATTTCCTACGAGTTAGATGGACAAGCATATACGACGAGCAACGGGTTGCTGGAATAACTTGAATGCCTGTAACCGGATTTCGCGGATAAACGGATTTTCCGCATGGATAGCGGTTTATTGCGTCGCGTTATGCGTTTATTTTATCTCACGGTGATTGAATTACAATGTGCGTCACCTTAATGTCGACTATTATATACGCGCTGGAATGCACATTCTCAAAATTGCGCGCAATTGTGCGAAGCGATCGAAATACGATCCAGCAGCGAGGTAAATATCCCACTTGTCGTAAATAATATATTTCTCTTTTTATCAGATGTGGCGATCACTTCTATGGACGCATTTTCTGCTGCTAACCGCGCTGTTAGCACCAGTGCAGAGGGTCGCAGCGTGCAGCTGTAAGCTAGCTCACCCTCAGACCAAGTTCTGCGAATCGGATTTTGGTACGATGTTAATTTCATGATTCATATCTCTTTCATTCTTTCATGTTGTAAATATTTAAGGCGTGAAAAATATTAATTATATGCATATTTTATTAAGAATGCGAAGATGGGATTCAATGTAATAATACTGTACGTAGAATAACGTACAGTGAAAAGATTTCAAGTATGAACAGCCATGTCACAGTTTTCCTGTAAAATATGCGCCAAATAACAGCGGAATTCACTTTCCGGCTTGCGTAAAGGTACGACGGCCACGGCTAATGACATTCTTCTGTCGTAGTTGCCGTGATGAGAGTGAAAAAGGTTCTCTCCGTGAACGAGTACGAGATCGCTTACAAGGTCAAGATAAACAGGGTCTTCAAGGTGTGTATTATTATGTGCCGTGAGATTTCGCGCGCGTTCTCGCGTCGCGTTCATCGCGAAATGTATAATCTAGGTTTAACCGTACGCCTGCTTCCTCCCGCAGTCCAATCCAAAGGCCGACGTGGCACTGATGCAGAACCTTTTATGGACTCCGTCCTCGGACGGAATGTGCGGCATGACACTGAAAGTCGGCGAGACTTACGTTCTCAGCGGTAGAATTGTCTCGGGAAAAGCACTCATATCGCTCTGCGGACTTTCGATAAGATGGGCCGAGACGACCAGCAGACAACGCAAGGGACTGAGACAGCTCTATCAACAGGGCTGCGCGTGTGACGTAAGTATTAAATTATTTTATCGATCGTTGTTCCATGTATATATATTAAGCTTTCAATATTAAAAAATACCAATATTAACATATCAATATGAAAACTTTTTTACTAAAAGAATATTATAAGATATCCTGCCAGCAAGGCGGAACAAAATTCGAATTTTATTGCTAAAAATGATTATTACATTCTTTCGAAATATTGCTCTTGTTTCATAACATGTTGCAATACATATTTCACACCAGAAAAAATAAAACTTTTAATTTTGTTGTTAGCAGTGATGATTGTTACATTACTTTTGGCATATTACTGAATATTTTTCATATTTAGGTCAACAACAAGTGGAAAAAATAAAGTCTAGTTGTTTGTAATAAATAAATTCAACCGAAATTGATCGTAAATTGTGAAGAGAGGCACATACATAAATCATATGTAAAATTAAATATTTTTGCAACTGATTCCGTGAACACAGGCAGGCTCAGTGCGCAAAGGGGCTAAAGTAATAAATCACCTACGCTATAAATCCCAGTTGATTTTATTCAACCGGATGTACTTCTCAAAAATGGAATGTTCTAATAATATACACGTGCGAATAAAAGAGCTGCACACGCGCGAATGTCGGAGCATTTATTCAAACACAGTAGACCGCTGCAAGGCGCGAGTTTACGTGACTGAAAATATGAGATCGCGAGAAAAGTCGCGTGTATAAATGGCCTGGTTTTTGTATCGCAGATTCTGTATACACATTGGAGGCGCAAGGGTGCCGTGTTCGAGTCCAGCGGCGGGAAGCGTTGCCTGTGGGAGAGCACACCAGGCCCGCAAGATTGCCAAGAAAAATACGGTGTTTGCCTGGTGGCGCCCGGTGGCTCCTGTTCCTGGGTTCCCTCGGTCCCGTATAAAAATTGCATCAAGGAATATCAGCGCCTACGCGAGCAGCAAAGGTCACGGGAGCCGTAACTGACATTTCCGTACCCCGTGTTTTCGTGACAGGAGGCGCAGCTAAAATCTATCAGTCGCAAAACGACGCGGCGCATCTGTCAATCAATCCGATCGAACGCGCCGCAGGTAATTGAGTCACTGAGAGGCAAAGTGATATAGTGCTAGTTTAATGGAACCGTATATTTGCAGCATCGAAAATGCAAAAGGCCTACACCATTTCCATTACTCGGAATATGAATAATTCAATAGTTCACGAAAAAGCATTATTACATGGACGAGACAAAATTTCCGTTTCTTTCAAAGTTTTATTATTAACTAATACTAATAATGATTTTAATCATTATTTTTCTTTTTCAGATTTTAACATTTTTTAAATGATAGGAAATAAATGGAACATATATCGCTTTACTTTTGAGGGGTGCAATTATGTCGTCGACTATTTACGATGTGTATTAATCTTCATACTAATTTTTATTTAGATTTCGATGGACTGGGCGAAAGAACGATTCTGATTGTATCGAAGAGTCGGCGTAGTTTTGTAATTGTTTAGTTAAGATATGGATTCATTTATATATCATTTGTTAAATTATTTGTGACTTAGGTTCGATAGCAACAACGTCGGCTATTTATCCCACAATTTTGCTAGCTTACCACTGGCTGTAATCGTAAGCAGGGAAGTATTAGTTAATTACGGGCAAATCTAACCGGCGCTGGTACAATCGAGTCTTAATTATTCGATTATTATTAATGAAGAGTAAGTTTGTTAGCTTTAGGAATTTCGAAACGCTTCAATACCCAATATGCGTTTCATAACTGAAATATATATGAGCGACCTATTTTCTCGGCTATTCTCTCAACATGTTGTATATATTATATTGTTAATGTACATTGTGTACTCTTAAATTATTCCAACTATCGTTTCGTTATGCGTAGTCGTAGACGTTAAAACGCTACTCGTACTTTCATTACATTTCGTAATCTTTTATGTGCGTTTTTAAGTTTAATCAATTCAATTAGATTGTAGCACCGTATATATTTGTTGTTTACAGGAATTATTATTCACGATTTTGGCACTGTTTGACGAGAAAAACTTTACCGAATATCTCAATAGTTTTCCACATGAAGATATGTACAAGGCTTTTTGTATTTTATAAGAGCATATTTATCATTTAATTCTACTTCAATAATTATTTCATGCAACAGCTGTCTCTTGTTAATTTAGTACAAAGTACGAAGAATATTAATATAATGGAAAATTTGTGTGCTTTTCGATGGGGAAGATACGAATTTTGTACCTATGTCATAGTTTAGTTCGTAAATGTGGTAATTTCGTAAGTGTTATGACATATATATAGATTATAAATTAATGAAAACAGTTATTCTTCCAGGCGTACCCGTGACGTGTCATAAGAGATAATATTTTTCTGATAATGCGGTTTGTTTACCAGACAGTATTTTCTTTTTATGATTATTTAATTTTTAGAAACGTAAAATGTGCTGAATAAATATTTGTCAATTGGTTCTACTCACCATTTCACGATGATTGGGGTAATAACTCTGCTCGATCAGAGGGAAGTTGTCTTTACCCAAACGACGTTGTAGACCCAGCAGGTGCGCAAATACCCAAGGTTTGTCCTATTTCGTGGAACACGTAGCAATTATCGAAAGGTTCAAGCACACTGTGTATAAGAAAGATATGTATAACGAAATCGATACGAGGCATCACGTGTGGAATCTCACATAAAATGTACATCTAAATCTCTATTATAATTCTGTCTAGATTGTATTTGAATGAAATTTTGCAAACATTTTTATACACAAATTAATGAGATAATATTTTAATATTATAATAATTCAAATTTTAATTTATATTTTTAGATGACAGAAATTATATTATTCTTAACAAAATCTTTATCTTATCTTTTATATCGATAATTAAATTTATTAAAAATAATTATTAGAAAATTTGTTTCGCTGAAGAGTTTTTTGAGATAATGTATTACCTGGAAGTTGTAAATTGCTGTTATATTGTTAACACTGGGTACACCGCCGTACATCAGGCCAAGAAGAAGATTTTTGAAATCTTCTCCAGCATCTCGCAGATTTTGACGTATCAATACGAAATCAGGCTTGAAGGATCTGACAACAAATAATAGTAGATGCATCGCTGTTCAATGTTAATATTTTCAATCAGATCTATATCTCTTATTGTTTTATTAAATTATTTCTCATTTTATATAAAAAATTTATACGTCGACGTTAAGTTTTTAGACTTTTAAGTTATATTTAATTTATTTCTCTCAATACTCTCTCTCTCTTGCTTAACTCAATATTAAAATGTAGTATAACTGCAAAATATTAAACGATTTAAGTTATGAAATTTAGTTTAATGTTGAAAATTATTAGTTTTAAAATGTGTAAAATCTCTCTCTCT